GGCCTGCAATGCTTTATGGTGCCGAATGTTGGCCTTTAAAAGAGAAGCATAATACTAAGTTAAGTGTGGCAGAGATGAGGATGCTTAGGCGGATGAGTGGCTTTACCCTTAGAGATAGAATACGAAATGAGCATATACGTGAAAAGGTTGGAGTAGCTCCAGTAGAAGATAAGATTAGAGAAAGTTGCCTTAGATGGTTTGGTCACATAAAACGGCGGCCTTGCGATGACCCGGTTAGGAGAGTAGAGGTATTAGATTTGACTTATGTTAAGAAAGGTAGTGGTAGACCTAAAAAGACTTGGTTAGAAAATATTAGGAATGACCTTTCTTTATTAGATTTAAACGAGAATTTGACTTTTAATAGGACACAATGGAGAAAAAGGATTCATGTAGCCGACCCCACGTAGTGGGATAAAGGCTTGATGTTGTTGTTGTTGTTGTTCTCTCATGCAACAATGAGTAAGTTATCTGTTATGAGTTGTTTTAGTTTTAGGCTAGGTTGCTCATGCATGTTATCACACCTTGGTGAAGCTCTATAAATAGAGGCCTTGGGTTGATGTAAGAGTTGGGGAAAAATCTGAAAAGCTTATTTGTATTTCCTCCAATTTTGTGCCTATCTCTCTCCCTCCCTCTCCCTCTCTCAAGAACATCCTCCAAGATCCTAACAAATGGTATCAGAGCTAGGGAGATGGAGGGATGCGTTCTTGAGGTGGAGCATTTGGCTTTGAGTACGCGAGTTCGGTCGCAGGATTAGCAGAAGGCAGATGAACGGGAGAGCCGAACTTGGGCGCTCGATTGGCGTCGGGCCTTGCTCGCAGGTGAGCAGGCGAAGCAGCCACGCGGTGTACGGCGGTGTGCGTGAGGAGCGGAATCGGGCGCGGAGACAGGGTCCGGACTGTCATGTGGTTGGAGCCTCGCGAACGGACTTGTGGGCTCAAGAAGGAGGCGAAGGGCGTCGGGTTGGCTTACTGGGCGGAGGCAAGCACGCGGAAGAGGTAGCTTCGGTTGATTGTAAAGCTACGTCAGCAGGAAGCTCCGCAAGGTACTGTAGTGGGATTCTTGATAGGGAGGAACAACGGACATTTTGGCAAGTGGAGCCGGTTGGGCTGGTTCGGCCACGAGACGATAAGCCACTCGGTGTGTAGCGGTGTGCGTGGGGCAGCGCAGGTGGGCGCTGCGGGTAGGCACATGTGGTGCGTGCGCAGTAGGCGCAGTGTGCACGAGGCACACTGGCATGCTGCAATGCTTCCGGCGGAGGCACGTTGGCCGATGGCGAGCCAGTGTTCTTGAAGGCTTGATCGGAGCAGACGAAGGTAAGGTTCGCATGCGGGAAATTCATGCGCCTTTGTACGTGAGAAAGAATCGGATTTGGAACAAGAGCGGATGCATGGAAGCCGTTGAGGCCGAATTTTTTGCTTGATATTGAATCAAGTTTCGATCGGTCTTGACTAGCTTGGAAGCAAGATTTGTTCTTGTATTGAAAATCAGTTCAGATCTTTAATGAAGAGATCAGATCTTCTTTGAGGTGGAGTCTTAGATTCAGGAGGAGTCCGGAAGGCAGCTGCAGAGGCGGAGAGAGAGACTCTTGATCTTGGATTCGTTCAAGGTGGAGAATTATAGGAGCATGTTGAAGCATCAAGAACCTCGTGGAGGCAAGATGTTCGCGAACTTGGGATTGGACGGGTGGATCGTGTGAAGTCGCAGGTATGAGCGTGCACGTGTGTCCAGGGCGATCGGTTGGATTGCAACAAGTTCGAGTTCTTGTGACGAGTGGTTCTTTGATTTTTGTAAAACTAAATCAAGGTGGAGATTGTTATGAGTTGTTTTAGTTTTAGGCTAGGTTGCTCATGCATGTTATCACACCTTGGTGAAGCTCTATAAATAGAGGCCTTGGGTTGATGTAAGAGTTGGGGAAAAATCTGAAAAGCTTATTTGTATTTCCTCCAATTTTGTGCCTATCTCTCTCCCTCCCTCTCTCTCTCTCAAGAACATCCTCCAAGATCCTAACATTATCACCAACAGATTATACCAGTGATAATTTTAGTTCACATATAGGCTCAAAATTTTGTAGTGTTAGTACTAAATAAATTAAAATTTCAATAAGATTTTCTTATTAAAGCAATGCATCAAAACTATATACATCATCCACGTCCTGAATTAATTTTACTCATTGGGTTGCATACTTGTTAACCAACACTCCAACACACAATTTACAGAGCCGTAAGCGCGATCGAGGGTTCCGATAGGACCAAAAACACAATATGGCTAACTGAAAGCCATCATCACTCGTCAAGATAAGTAGAAATTTATAACTAAGAGGCTATTGCCGACAGTAGACGATGGTTGTCAATGGGTGGTGGCGGGCAGCATCGGCAAGGGGTGTCCATATTTGACACGATTTGAAAATTCGGCCCGAATCTGACACAAAAATTTCGGATTCAGGTGAACCAGAATCCGAACCGGGTCGGGTTCGGGTTAGAAATTTCTACCCGTTTGTAAAATCGGGTCAAGCTTGGGTTGACCTGGAAACTCGAAAAGACCCCGGTAGCCCTAGGAACCGTCTGTCTTCTTTGTCTGACCTGGGTCGCGTCCGTCACGTTCATGTTGTGTCCATCATCGTCTGTCGCGTCTGTATACCGATGTCGTTGTCAGCTTACCGCTACAGCTGGCGCTCGAGTTGCCACGTCGAGCCCACTGTCGGCCTGCATTTGGCTCCATCCCGAGAATCCGAGACCATGATGATGAAAAGATCAGAAGTAACGAAGCAGCCACTAGCGCCCGAGCTGTCGCTACCGGCCTGCATTTGGGTTCGTCCTCAGAATTCGAGACCACGACGATGACAAGCTCATAAGTAGCGATGCTGTCGCTGTCTGAATAAGGGCACGAACAGAGCCTTCCCCGGCAGGATTTGGCTGAATAAGCGCGTGAACGATGGGTCGATATTGACTTATAGGTCAAATTTAGGTCTGAAAAACTGACCAGTTGGCAAAAAAACAGGCCAAGTTATGGTCAGGTCAAGTAGTGCCGGGTCAGTTCCGAGTTCAACCCCAACTCGACCCGTGACCCGATTTTGATAGCCCTAGCATCAGCGTCAATAGAGATAAATCTATGGTGTATTTAGGAATCCCTCAAATCAGATGAATTCCAAATACGTAAAATTTGTATCATAAGATGTATTTCAATTACACTACAATTATTTTACTTCAAATTAAACATCAATATTATCAAAACACCTATATTTGAAATAATTTACATGTATTTTACTTCAAATCAAACAGCCCCTAAATAATTTTTGCCCCACCAAAAATTTAAGATTGAAAAATGATAACAAGCTTTTCTCCTTGCCGACGTTCAACAAAAATCTTACAAGTAAAATTGAGAGATCTGATCCCATGAAGGCATGAACCCACCCTCCTATTAAAAATAATGAGACAATAGCAAAATTGGTTGGCAAGCCCTTCTGGTTATAGCTTGATGGAGACACTTCCCCGTGAACACGTGATACAACACAAGCTAAGCTGGCTTCTCATGTCTCAAATCTCCTAGAAATTATTACGTGCCGTCACCAAATTATTCGGAGATCAATTAGGACGTGCCATATCACCCGATACATAGCTGTATACAATAACGATACACAATAAATTGATGACGTGGTGCGTCATCATTGGTCCCAGTGACCGCGCGTAATAATTTCGTCAAATAAATAAATAATCGGAGGATTTAATAATTTTTGGAGGCACTCGTATTAGAAGAACTCAACCAATGAAGGCATTCAACTCATAAGAACTCGCCTCTATCAAAGAATAAGTTGCCTCATTAGGAGGCGACGCTCACTTTTTCCCACTCAAAAATAGTGACTCTCCTACAAAACCGATGCCTCAAGCTAAGCGGTTACTCCGTATAAGCACTCCTTAAAAAAAAACTCATCAAACTTCATTTGGAACAGCTTCAAGCCACACATTAATTTCTGCTTTCAAAAGATTTTTGTATTGAAAAACAACTTTATAAAGCAATAAAAACTCAACGAATCCTTAATGTTCATAAAGAGAAATATAAATTTATGAGCCTTTTCTCCTCATTTTCCCCATCTATCCTTTTGGGTAGGATCAAAATATTGCAAACGAATAAATTTGGATTCAATGATACTAACAAAAAAATGTAAAAAAAAAAAAATCAGAGAAAAATATATAAAATATTTTTTTAATAAATAAAAGTTATAATAATCTCTAAATGACTTAAAAGAAGTCACGAATTACAATTGAACCCCTATTTTAACTTTCTTATCTTATTTAAAGATAAACTCAAATTCATTTAATCAAAATTTTACTGTTTCTTAAAACAACTTTTTAATAAATTTTATATTAAAAAGATACTTTAATAAGCAGTAAGAAAGCTATCTCAAACAAATCATAAAACTTAAGCTTATCCAAACTTGATTATAAAATCTCTCCCTCCCACCTCAATTCAATCAATAAATACAAAAATACTAACTATTATTAAGCACACAATTTTACATTTATCAACAAATCAATTTTTTCTTGTAATTAAAATTTACACAAAAATGAATAGATAATATACATTTGTCTAGTTGTCACATTTTTCATTAAAATTAAAATAAACTATTTTTAATTAACATTATGCAAATAAATACCAAATAATTATAAAATAGCAAATATAATTGTTTGGGAAATCATCCCCTTCCTCATAAGGCAAATTATTGCGTCCGGTGTCCAGATTCGTTCTGACACCAATCCGATGTCGCCACGTCACCAAAATGCACCGGGACCCAGTGTATTTGAGTGATGTGGTGTCACCGGATTGGATGTCCAGACATTCGATGACCGGACGCAATAATTCGCCTCCTCATAATCCTCACTCTCCTTAACATCACAATGCCCAAAAATAAACAACAAAGAAATAAAATTGAATCCATCTATATATATTATTATATACACTAAAACAAATCCCTAAATCACCTCCCCGCCTCTCTCTCTCTCTCTCTCTCCTCCCTTCCTTACCCACAAAAGTTATCGCCCTCCCCTCCAAGGTCCTTCCTCCGCCCTTCTAACCAGATCGCCTCGGCCGCCGCTTCCGCTGCCGCCGCCCCCGGAGCAATGTTGTTCTTCCTCTTTCTTCTCCTTCTATCCGCCGCCTCCTCCGCCTCCGCCAAACTCTCGCTCGATTACTACAACGCGTCCTGCCCCCGCGTCCACCAGATCATCTCCGACATCATCACTACCAAACAGATCAACAGCCCCACCACCGGAGCTGGTGTGCTCCGCCTCTTCTTCCATGACTGTTTCGTCTCCGGCTGCGATGCCTCCGTCCTCATCTCCACCAACAACTTCAACGTAGCTGAGCGCGACGCCGACATCAACCACTCTCTTCCCGGCGACGCATTCGACGCCATCGTCCGCGCCAAAGCATCCCTCGAGCTCCAATGCCCTGGCATCGTCTCATGCGCCGATATCCTCGCGATTGCTACCCGAGATCTCGTATCCATGCTTGGCGGCCCGTTTTATCCCATCCGTCTGGGCCGCAAGGACTCCTTCACTTCCAGCGCCGCGTACGTTGAGTCCAATCTCGCTCGCGCGAACGCATCTATTGATAAAATCATTGATCTATTCGCAGCCAAGGGTTTCACCGTCCGCGATTTCGTCGCTCTCTCCGGCGCGCACACGGTGGGATTCTCACATTGTAGTGAATATGCCGACCGGATATTCCATTTCAATAATGGTGGCCCATTTGCTTATGATCCGACCATGAATCCTCGATTCGCACAAGCTTTGCAGAAGGCATGTGCTAATTACCTCAAGGATCCCACCATCGCGACATTCAACGACATCATGACGCCGGGTAAGTTTGATAACCTGTATTACCAGAATCTGCTGAAGGGATTGGGGCTGCTCGCCACCGATCAGAAGATCGCGGCGGATCCGCGGACGGCGCCTTTGGTGAAACTATATGCTGAAAACCAGTCCGCGTTCTTTGAGGACTTCGTTCATTCGATGCAGAAGCTCAGCATCTATGGTGTCAAAACTGGAAGGAACGGTGAGGTTCGCCGGAGGTGCGATGCCTTCAATAACCTCTCAGGTTAGGCAATCTTGCCTCTTGCGATAGATTGGGTTACAGAAGAGGGAGAAAATATGGATGGATTCTAAATCGATGAATTTGGGCGTACTGTGTTTCAAACTTTGTGTTGTCTAATTATGTTTTAATTTGTTATGCTTTTTTTGTTGTAATTCGTTACCGGTTTTCTGAATGGGAGGGGAGAATCAGGAGATAGAGACAGATAAAGTGAAAAGAAATAAAGAAAAAAAAATTATTGAGAAAGGAAGATGGAATGAAGCTAATGCTTTTTCCCCAATTTCCATTACAATTAATAAGCTTTATGCCCCATTTTATTTTCTATTTGTCCATAAATTCAATGGTGAGAAGGAGAAGTAATGAGAATTCAACTGTTATAGATTGAAGATTTGTGCTTTCTTTCTTGTATAATTGATTTGTTATCTTATAATTTACAGTAAATTTTATCTTCTTCTTCTTCCTCTTCTTCTTTAGTTTTGATTTTTGTTGTCAATAGAGCGATTAATTCTTTTTTTTTCTTCTTCTTCTTTTGTTGAAAAGGGTTCTTTAATTTAGTATTATTAAGATCTGTTCAGTATCTTCTTCTGTTAAATGCTGTTATTGATTCGGTGTTTAGACCGTTGGATAAAAACCAATATTGTTCCATAAAAACAGCATAAACTTTTAATGAAATAAAATATGAATATTATTTATAAATTTGTCGTGAGAGGTTGTAAGCTTGTTGACTTAGTGTTTACACATTTCTTAATCAAAATATGAAAAATAATAAATAATAAGAAAATAATATATGCTTTTCTCATAGACAGCTAAGCAAAAGGCTGCCAGAGATGTGAAACGGATGAATGGAGGGCAGTGTGACTAGAATCACGGATAAGTTAACAGATTTTGGTAATGTTTGTATGGAATGCTGGCCTGGTGGGTAACTAATCTCTCGGCAGCTTCTAGAGAGGTCACCCGCTGGCATCGAGTTCGTACTTATTTTGCCCCACTGAAGAGGCGAGGTTGTAGTGGAGAGGATTCGAACTTGGGATGGGGGGCTCCTAATTGTGCTCGCCTACCAACCACCGTAAAGCCTACTCGATTTTCCTTAACGAGCGGCTCGATAAGGTCTAGTAAACGAACCAGATTTTGAACATGAACCAAGCTCGAGAATGTTTTCTTTTTTAAATGAGCTCGAGTTCGAACAAATGTTAAAAATGTTCGTTTCTTATCGAACCAAGCTCGAACAGGTGCCTAGCAAATGAGCTCGAAGTCGAAAAAGCTCAGCTCGGCTCGGTTCATTTGCAGCCCTATGCCAGAGGTGGTGTTAAAATTAACAAATGATGTGATGCATTGGAGAAATTATTCTTTGCGGACGCCAGACGCAACTCTACATCCGGATGCCACAATACCGAGCTGTACCGGTAACGAGCAGTACCGAGCTGCGGTACATTAAAAGGATGATGTGGTGCATTTTTATTGGTCTCTGGACGTCATTTGGTGTCTGCACATAATAATTTTTCCAGAAGTTTGGCGATGGAAAATCGGGTTATTGACTACTAGTTTGATTCTTCAGGGACATGCAAGACATGACAGAGGCATATTAGTTATGATCGGTACTTGGTAGTTGTGCACAATGAATAAATGTTGCATCTTTGTGGGACTATAAACATAACATGCTTTGTTGGTGACTTATAAGAGGGTTGATGGGGCACCTAGTACCAACTGGACTATTGCCACTGTGAAGTAATGCCAATAAATGACCCATGGAGAGTCATCAGTTGGATGCAAAGATAAAGAAGAAGCATCCATGTGAGAGGAAATATGAAGATAAAGCTTGAGAAAGCTACAATAAGTGCGAAGACAAGCATTCATGTGATGCAATTTATTTATTTTTATTTTTTTTTTTGAAAACGGGGTATCCACCCGCTGCTAGGAGTGTCACTTTCGGGTCATGGGCCGGGTTCAGATCTAATCCGAAATTGAGTCACGGGTCGGGTTCGGATCGAAACCGAAATTGACCCGGCACTTTTCGGGTCAACCCGAACTTGGCCTTTTTTTGCAAACAGGTCAGTTTTTTGGACCCAAACCCGTCTATCTTCAGGTCAAGGTCAATCTGAGACGACCCAAATGACCAGGGACCGACCAAAAATTGCTAGTTTTTTGGTCAAAATGGGTCAATATTTGATTTTCGGGCCAAGAACGGGTTAATCTTGGGTTTCCAAGCCAAACGGGTTTTCGGTTAAAAAACAGTTCAATTTCGGGTTGTTGGTCAACCCGAACCTGACCTAGTTTTTGAAACTAGTTGATTTGCTGAACCGAACCCGACCCATTTTGGATTCGGGTTGACCATAACCTGAAATTTTCGGGTCGGGTTCGAATCGGGTTCGAGTTGTGTCAAATATTGACATCCCTACCCGCTACCACCCCCAATATGGCACTTGGCAATGTGACTAATTCTCTACTGACCTAAAAGAGGCACCCGCCCCAGAAACCTCCTCGTCCATACTTGATTGGACCCCACTTGAAAGACATTGCCGTTCCAGAGGAATCGAGGACGAGTTGAGGGTTCCCAATCATACTCGCCCATCAATCAAACTAAGCAACTATGGGTGTGATTCAATTTTATAGCCCACATCCATGATATAATGACATTGACAAGCCAATATGAAAAGTAAACTATATGATATAAATAAGCTTGACACTTAAACTGACGGAGAGCATTGATTGGAAGTAAGATGGACGAAGGGAGGACTATTTTTCTGCTTATATAGGGGAGTTTTTTTTTTTCCTCCAATGAGTTAAAAAAAAGTCCTTTCAATTGATTATGAGTAGAAAGGTGGTGCTGATAAGGATAGGAGATATGGTCCACGTGGCGGGCCTAGAAACAATTAAGTGCCAAGTGTCGGGAAATGACCAATAGTATGGTTAACTACTATATGTAAGGCATCACATAGAGTCATTCTGATTGGGTTGATGTCTATGATGGACATTTGCAACATCTTTATGAAATTTGGACATAATAAGCTCCAATGATGCTTTGGTTTTAGAATCTTATTTGTCAAATGATTGGCTTGTGGTTGGGTAAATCCTTTAAAGATGAGTCAAGTTCTCTAGAGAGATGACTCGGGAAAGTTAGTAAGATGATCGAGTTAGGGAAGTCGATTATGGGGCCAAGTTATCAAAAAGGTTGGCTTTGAGAAGTTAACTAGGAGATTGAGTTATTGGAGATGTCGTTTTAGACATGTTTATAATTAGGCCTAGTTTGTGAAGAAGGCGCCAAGAAAACTAGGTCCACAGAGGAGGCAATAAGGTCGAGTTCGGGCGAATTATTGTGTATGAGAGGGGATATTAATAAGGCTGAACTACGTAGAGGAATTTGTTGAGCTTGATTTTTCATTTTGATTGTCGATGGTTCATAATGGTACATAGTAATGATGTGTATATTTTGTTATTTTGTTAGTACATATAGATTAGGTTTGTGGTATCCCAAAAAATTTGTCTTCTGATTTAATTGATTTTTGGTCCTCTATAAAAACAAGAACCAATTTTCAAGATTTTGTTGCCATTCAAGTCTTTAGAGATTCTTAACCTATATCTTTGCATTTAACACATTTACCTAAAATTATCAAAATCATATTGAAGAGCCATAAAATTCATCAAAAGTTATTCTTTATATCCAAAAATAAATATTTCAATTTTGAGGGCTCATATTTCCAAAACAATCAGGATTCATTTTTCCCAAGATTTTATTTATTTATTTTACAAATTGATAACTTTGTTTATAATAATTATTAAAAATTTAAAATTAGATCCCAAAAATATCACTCTTAAAACTTTGTAAAAAAAAAAAAACCTATTTTGATTGAGCGTGAATCTTAATACTCATTTGAATTAGAAATTTAAATTAAATTTAGCACTATTTGAACTCCAATTTCAACAAACTTATAATCGAGACGAGCATCTAGAGATGAAAAACCCAACAACATCAAATGTGATCCAATCTAAGTTTGATTAAGCCTAGATCAAACACTAGAAGCTTAATTAAAAACTTCAGTACATTAATAGGATGACTAAATGATCTTCAAATATTACAAGCTTATAATCAAATCGAGCATCTCAATGAGACAGAACAATGAGCTCAATATCGCTAAATTATGATATCATTAAGGCACTTAAATGCTGAAAAAAAATAGTCTATAATTAAGTGAATCAATAAGAGTCGCATGATGGAGTGCTCCAAATTTTATCTATATTTATAGGATATGCAACTCTAAAAAAATCTATAAATAAGTCATCACTCTCTTTATTAGGGTGGATCAAGAGCTAGAGCTTAGACTTGGGTTTAATATTCAAAAAAACTCAAAGGCACTAAGAATCCTGAAGTACCACTTGATCAGCATCGCCAAATAATTGTTTGATCGTTGTCTAACCTTCAACAACCATGGCCTGATTATAGGACATTGACCACCGGTGCCCAAACATAGTCTTTCAATCACTATCGCTCAACTAATATAGTCACCCAAATACTATCCTCCAACCTTTTTTAACCGACTAGGATCCTCTAACCTCTATTAGCTAATTATGGTCCTCCAACCATTGTCACCCGACTACGAACATGCGACAACCATCGCTTGATTATGGACATCCGACGCTCTAACCTTCATTGATAGACCATGGTCGTTCAACAACCATTGTCAAATCATGGTCCTCCAACCACCACCATCCTATCAAAATCCTTAGACCATTGTCGTTTAACTACAATCCTCCAATCTCCATAGATCAACTATATTACTCTGATCGTTGTCGCCCAACTATGATCCTCTGATCATAGTCACCCGATTGAGATCCTTGACCACCATCACTCAACTACAGCCCTTCAACCAGCATCTCCTGACAATTGTTCTCTTGCCTCTGTCAAGCACCATCATTACAAGACAAAGGTCTTTTGTCCTACGTACTTCTAATTTATGTCACATAACTACACCAATGTTCGCTAACTTTATTATCTATCATCGTTAATAATATCAACGCATGTCGTTGAAACATGCCATCGACGTTAACTCTAACTCCTGAAATTGAGGCTCTGTCAACTTTAACCATGTAATATGTTCTATAAATTATATGTTTACTACATTGGCTCTATGACTTCCCTCAAAAAAGGGCATTTGTAACAGATGACTAGTGAAAAGCCCGAGATTTTTTATTTTGTTGATTTTGTAAAGTAAAAAAATTGGTATCTATTCAAATTATTGCGCTCCTCTATCATATCTATATGCAAGATCATCATATAAATGCTAAAACAACAACAACTCAATCTCTCTACCACCGTGAATGTTCTAACCAAAATCCATCATATAATGAACAACAATTACACTTAGAATCATATATATGTTTGTTTAGTTTGATTACATTTCATAATTTCACTATTCTTTTAATTTTTCAAAATGAATTTCACTATCTCAGCGTATTCAAATTTTAGTATTCATTTAAAGCTTTTAGCATTATGTTGTTGTGCGGCTAGGACATTTCCCACTTGCCAACAGAGTCATGCATTGGGTACCCATACTCACATCCACCCACGTACCCACCCATACCCACACGTACCCACCCATACCAAATGGATATAGGTGGGTATGGGTACGCCTATGGCCTCATTGGTGGGTATTGGTGGGTACTCAACATCAGGGGATAAATTGATTTATATTGCTAATCATAGTATGTTGTATATTAACGTAATCCTCACTACGCAGTGCTCAACATTGAATTGTGTTGCGAGTTGCGACCATAGTAAATTCTGATATGCAGCTTAGAAGTTTGCTATCAAAGTAAAGTACAACAAGCCTCAAGACCATCAACCTGTGATAAGTTGGTGGTTATGAGTATGTACGACGTCCCAAAAGTCACAATGGGTGGGTGTGGGTGGGGGAAGCCCGCCCGCACAGAGTGTGGGTACCCAATGGGTACCCAACCAGGAGCTCATGTAGGACTTTGCTTGCCAACTATCAATCTATCTAATAAAAAAGGCTATAGTAATCAAATCTACTACATTAAAGATAGAAACATTAGGATTTTTATAAAATTTTCACTTAAATGATTAGGTTTTTATTGGCAATTCACAATTTTTTTATGATTCCTAAGAGGCTACTTATTTGGTTGAAAAAAGAATGAAATAGATTTGAAAATCCTAAATTATTTAAATGAATGTAAAATAAATGCATGTGATTATTTCTTATTTGATTTGAAATAAATAAATATAACGTAAAGCCCAATAATAGCGATGGCTGACGGAAAATGAGCGGTAGGCCAACAACATAATTTGCTTGTAGTGTATTTGGAATTTGACCGACAAAATCCGATGAGTTTTAAATTCATAACAAATGAATTACCAAAATGAAGTTTGAGTTCATCAAAATTTTATTTTGTATTCTTTTTCCATCAAATTAAACACCTAAATTTCTAAAACTCTACGTTTGAAATACTTCACACATTTTTTATTAAGGAGCGAATTGATTTCAAATGAAATGGGTGTAAAGCATTTCAAATGTCAGGGTTTTAAAAATATTCATATTTTTGTTTAAAATAAAAGAAAAGCAATCAAATTTTGAAGCATTTGAATTCATCATCTAATTCAATTTTGATATATTTGAAAACTATTAGATTCAATCGATTTTCAAATACACTACAAATTCTCTATCATTATCATCATTACAGTCGTCCTCCGCCTGCCAACACCGCCAGCTTTTACTGTTACTGCTAGCTGCAACTACTGATCACCACTAACCATCATCTTTGACCTATATACACTGCAATCATTTTATTTCAAGACAATCAATGAAAAAATATAATTATCTACATTGACTTTAAACTAATCCAAATAACTCAAAGAGTGTAATGTAAAGGTGATCATTAAAAGTTTATAATATCACAAATTTTTTGTTCCAAATAATTTTTAAATTATTTACATTAGATTTTATTTTCTTGTCCAAAATCCACTGGATTGACTTATTGTTTACTATTGATTGCAGGTCATATTTTCTTTAAATAATTTTATTATTGCTAATATCACTTCTTTGAGCTTTACTATAAGCAAGTTGCCTTTGCTCTCATGGGGTTGAAATTTTCTCTTTTTATCTGTTTTCAATATTATTATGTTTCCCATTAAGGCTGATAATTATGTTAGAAATACAAAATTTATATATATATTATTTAAATTTAACAAACAAGTTCTAATACTTTCTAACAAAATCTTTTTAGATCTATCTCAATATTTCTTAACATATGTCGGATCTAAAATATCTACTCTCCTACTCGAGACATCAAAAGGTAGAAACTTTATGTGACCAAACCATCTAAAACGACTCTCCCTTATCTAATTTGCCACTAGAGCTACTCTAACTATTATATGTATATACTCATTTTGCATTCTGTCTTTAAGTGTAAAGTCACCCATCCACCTAAGCATCCTCTATAACACCCAAAGCTTTCATGTTATATCACTGTAGAATACACCATTTATTGTTTCTTATTTCTTATACATTGTCTGTGTATTTTATTGATTTCTAACTCATTAACAACAGTTGTAGTACGAGAAAGGGGAGTGTCTAACAGTACACTAGACGAGAAGGTTAACTGCGCTTTTTGTGTAATACATTTTGGACGTAGAGCTCAAGGTAGAAGTTGTACATACACTTTTGAATATATAAATATTATTTAAAAGTTTAGTAAAACTCTGTATTATATTTGATGTATTGTAAATTAAGATGCAGATTCTTCTTCTCTGTTACACTCCATGTTAACTTTTGGGGGTGTGAAAATAATGGCAAAATAAGAAATTGTTGACCTAAGCAAAAGAATCTGCTGCATCGATCTTTTAAAAATTGCAAAAACCTTTTGCACAAAACAATCAAAAGTAAATGTCGTGACAAAAACTAAAAGGTGCAAATGTCGTGAGAGAAAACCTAAAGGTTATTAATGCTTCTTTAGAAAACTTGTGAGTGTTTGATAAGAACATTGATGAGAAACAAAGCCAATGGAAATACAATTACAGGACAAGAATGATGGAATCATCACCATACCTTCAACACGGCTTCCGCTTGTCAACTTTCAAGTGGAGTTTGAACCATTTCTTCTTTCTTGGACGATCTCTTGATTTCTTCTCCTTTGCTGGGTGTTCCTCTGCTACAGATCCCTTGAAGGAAGATCTTATCTTGCTGCTACTTGAGCTCCGCGATAGCGGTGGGACAGTGGTGTATGATTCATGAATCGTGTTTCTTTTCCTTAGAAGCTCATCGATCTAAATTATAAAAAAATATATATACACATTTGTGTTTTCAAAAGGTGAGTGCATAACAATGACAATCCAAAAATTGATAAAGAGAGATAAAGGTATCGTTTGGGACGGCTTTCTTAGTACTTCTCAAAGCAACTTTTTAGTACAAAATTTTTCTTTTTGTACTAGAAAGTCGCTTTAAGAAGCAGCAAAAAAAGCTGTTTTAAATGAAGCCAAAATTATGTTATGTAAACAAATATTCAGTGGATCATTTTGCAAAAAGCAGATTGGGATCTTTTGCAATGAACTTTTTGTCAGGCCAATGAGGGTGTTACTTGAGTTGAATTGTAACTTGCTTACATTGTGATTAATCTGGATTGACTCTAACATCCAGATCCAGGTTTGATGCTACCAAAATATAAGCATTGACAAATTGGTTTTTAGAGGTGGGAAGAAACTGAAGGGAGAAAGGGGTTTGGTACTCAAGATTCAAAATTTGTAGAGGATAATTATCAGGTAAAAATCAAAATAGATGAGTGATAAATATAACTGCTAAAAACTTAGGTGATAGCCTGAACCAGGGACACTTCTCTTTCTTAGAGTTTTTACAGCACTGCGCATTTTCTCTCCTATATAACTTTCCCAAAGGCCACTCAATACCCCCAATACAATCTTCATGTCTCCAAAGTATTCAACATCTTGAAGTTAAAAATGCTGAAATTCTTGACGATAACTTAATCACATTGATTTTTGACTTCATTCACCGCCACACAAATAAAAAACTGATTTAAAATACGACACTTCGGTAGGGTAAAAGAGGTATGAGATGGACATGCATGAAAAATATATATATTTTTTTTATCTAGTGAAAAAGAAGCCAAGTGGATGAGGATGGAGGAGAAAGCTAGCAAAGGCAGGTGAGGAAACAGAAATAATGGTGATGCTGGAGTTTTGAGATGGGAATAGGATGTAGAAGCATTGAATAGGAAAACTAATAACAGGTTAAGATATGAATGGGAGATGGCAGAGACATGAAGGTTGGCTCATGGCTGATGAAGGAGATAAAATTAAGGGACATAAAAATTCGGTCAAGATATCCGAACTAAATTTTGGTCAAGTGATGGGGACATCAGATTTCGACACATGTACCATCGCCGACGGTGCAGATCGACGGCTACGATCCAGAGCCTCTACTTCTGAGTTATTTACAGCTTATGTCATGTGTACTTCTTTAGTTTTCCTAGTTTGCCCCTGAGGGCATTGTTCTACTTATGTAGCCCAGAGGGCGTTTATGTCTTTTCATTTTTCTTTATTTGAGCCTCCTTATATGAGGCATGATGCATTGTAAGATTTTAGTACCTTGGTTGAATAAAAATTATCCCCTTTGTTCTCTTTGTGAGTGCATTTCCCTTTGATCTCTTAGTGAGTTCAAAGGGAGAACTAGATCTCTTAGTGAGTTCTAGAATTAGTCCAAGCTTATTGTGTGGAGGTAGAGTTGTGAAGAAATATCGAGGAAAGGGATTTCAAAGTCAGAGAAAATCGCAACTTTCTTCAGCTTTCCTCTTCTCCCCCTAGTGCCGCCGACCCCCCTTGGGATCTAGCCAGGCCGCCGGCTTCACAGCCCAACCCGCTCCCTGCAAAGCCCCTCCCGCCGGCCTGCCAAACCCCACCCGCCGGCCTGCCCAGCTCCACCCGCCGACCCCTCCTCCGTCCAGCAAACCGCCCAGCCATACCCCAAGCCTGCAGCTCCTTTTCCAGATTGCCGCGCCCCACTCCCTCGCTCTTTCAATTTCAAAATTCCCTGAGATTTTAAAGAGTTTCCCTTATGGCCATTAAGGTTTCCCTAGTTCCCTTGATTATTGCTAATCAGATTGAATTGAGTTGAATTCGAATTCAAATCCAATTCCAATTTTAATTGCTTTAAAATTAGAAACCTCCTATTACTATTAAAACGAAATTTTAATTTCAGATTTTGCTTATAATTGAAAATTGATTTGTGGTCCCACTTTTGTTCCTTAATTAAACTCCTCCTTCTCTCTCCTATGGCCGGCCTTATTTGGGCCCCTTCTCTCTCCTACACCTCATATCCACAATCAGCCCCAAATCCCCCCCGGCCGCCCATTTATCTCCTTGGTTAATTTTGGATTTCCAAATTAATCCATCCCATAACCCCCTCCAAACTTAATTTTCTGCTGAAATTCCTTGCACCATTATTGAAGCCCACTTGGCCAAATTTCCCCTCCCACCTATCTTTGGCGTTTCTCCCCAACCCCGAGCCACTTCTCGCCTTCTCGGAGACGTCTATGTGGGCGCATTCACTCCCATCTTCAAGAATGCATGGAGGAACCCGAAGGAATTTCGGATTTGAGTACGATCCCAAGGAGAACGACATCCCAAGTCTACCCTCTTCGAACGTTGCTTCGACTTGTTGACGACACTCCTCAGAAGAATACTTGGATCGATACTACACATTACGGAGTCATCGACGACCACTTCTCCGTCTACACGTGAATCATTGAAGGCCGTCCATCCGCTCCTCCGAACCCGGCTCCCTTCCCGGCGACAAGTCCTCTCAAGATCACTTGCCTCTTAGTGGCGTCGCTAAGTCTACTTACGGTTCTCTTCCGCTAGCCTCCACTTTAAATATGAGTGACGGATCTTAAGGTGAAGGATCTAAATCTTAAATTTGGGGCTTTGTTAGTCTTAGCCATTTGTATTACTTGAATTATTGATGTTATTTTGAAAGTCTTCTAATCTCTAAATGTGCTTTCTTGTCATTACTTAATTTATCGTCATCTAATTCGTGAACTCAACTTGATTAAGCAAAGAGTTTTGGTAGCAAGTTTTGAATCAATACTTCTATTATTTTCCTATGTGAAATTCGCAATTCATCGTATGATTGTTTCACATCATCAAGTTTCAAAATCTTTGAATTTTTTTTAGGATCAGTGCAATATATAGACAAGTAATCAACTTTTATATTGCATTCATCTCGAAATAAATTCAAGAATTTTAATTGCACTCATCTATCCTCACTAAATTATAGTTTATAATGAGAGCCTCCACCAATACTTGGATTAGTCAGGCCAACTCCCCAAATACCGTTCTCGTCCTTCATTGAATATTCAGATCCGTTCAAATCAAAATCAAGTCAAATGGTAAGATTGAAATTTGTTAGCAAGGTAGCTAAGATTGTATTTCAAGTCGAAACTTAGGCTTTGTTTGGGATGGCTTTCTTACTGCTTTTTCAAGCAACTTTTTAGTATAAAAATTAAAATTTTTGTACTAAAAAGCAACTTTAAGAAGCAGTAAGAAAGCCATCCCAAACGAAACTTTAAAGTATTAGTTGCATATGGGAAATTTGAACTCACTTCCTCCACTTCTTTTGCATATCTTTTTGTCATATCCGTAAACTGTGCCAGAACCTGCCAAATTACAAGTCATAAACAAAGTCATGGATGGGGCCAAGTATCCCACAGATGGAGAGAGCAACATTTGGACAGAATAACAAACCTCTCGATATTCACTCTCAAACTTGGACAGTTCTACTCTCTTGGCTAATATCTCAGCTTCCACATCCCGAAGTTTGTCCTTCTCAGTGGAAAAAGCTTCCCCGCTTAAAATTTCTATCGTGTAAGTAGCGCTTCTGAAGAAATTATCACCTATTAAATAAGCCATTGAAGGATATCAAATGAGATAACATAGAAGCGGAAGATAAAAAATTATGTTCCTCCTAGAAGTTAAAACCAGTGAACGCACCATAAACAGCAAAAATATGCGTCCCAGCTTTCAGTTCATTTATTTCGCAAGGCTGAAATCCATCTAATTTTCTGAAAAAGGCTGAATCAGGATCCTTAGCAGCTGCCATCTGAGGGTATCAGGAGTTCAGAGAAAAAATTACAAGGATCTATACAAGTACATCCTGACAGAATGTTCAAAGCATATAGTGAAGATGATCCTTACAGATTTAGTCTGATCAAACCGGTATACTGGAAAACAAAGAAAAAACATGCCAGCCGAGGAAACCTTTCCCGTTTTTGTACTGTCTTCCTGCAAAACAAGTGTGCCCAAAGAATCATCATCGCAAAAGTATATTAGTAATAAACTAATAATTCAGTCTGTTTCTTTTGCCCAATTCATAGCAGCAGATTCTCATGAATATCGCTGCTCTATGTAAAAACTCTAAAATGAAATTGCAATCAAACTGACTATGCTATAAATTTGAGGGCTGAATAATGAAAAAAGAAAAATCCTTGATAGCCAAGTGTAGTAGCACAAATGCCAATGTTAATATGGATGTATAGTAAAAACAATAGTATAAATCGAGTAATATTTATATTATAAAATTTATGGGAAACTACATATTAAAGATGAGATAATGAAAAATAAATAAGATGATTGGGCATGTTCAATTGAGAGTAGAAAATGGGACAAAATTTAATAAGGAACTCGATTTGTGCACAAGTTACAAGGGATCATCGACGATAGGCACCTGCAAAAGGCTACCCTCCCATCATCCATGCTAGCTATGTAAGACAATGTTTTATAATTGAAAAAAAAATCATTTAAATTGAACCGACAACGTCAGTTGAATGGAACCAATGTTATGGTCCCGTGGGAGAAGCAAGCAAGCCATCACGGGGGGCTCGAACGTGCCTAAACAAAGCGAGGGATTCATAATGGAGAGAGAGAGATGAAGAGGCGGTAAGGAGATAGAGAGGGAGAAAGGGATCGAGGGAAGAGAAACAATCTTCGATTGGGATTAAGCCTTATTTACTCAGTCTTTAATAAGGACGGGGTGGTCTTTAATAGTGAGTGAAAAATGAAAGGTGGATCTTGTGAATTGGGAAGTGTGGTCGAGCATGAAGCTGCGCATCCAAGCATGCTTTTGCATGAGATTGGGCCAAGCAAGCAAAGTAAGGGTTTTATTCTTCTTTAATGTTATAATAAACCATTATGCTATATTTTATTGAGAAACCCTATGCCTATGTTAATTTTTAACAAATTATTTCAGAATTTTGAAGTGAAGAGAAGCAAATCTAGAGAAGAGAGATTCATAATTATTTCCTTTCTACTTTCTTCATGATTGGTTGGAGAATATTAGAAATGATCTTTTCTTATTAGATTTAAATGAGAATTTGACTTTTAACAGGACAATGGAGAAAAAGAATTCATGTAGCCGACCCCACGTAGTGGGACAAAGGCTTGATGTTGTTGTTGTTGTACTTTTTTCATGATTGAATTAAGGAAAGTTTAAAAATCAGATTTCAACATTTTAATTATTATTAACTCAATAAGGAAGCTTATATATAATAATTATTTTTTAAATTTAATTTTAAGAGTTTTGTGGGAAAAAACAGAAAATAGCAAGAGGTGAGATATATTGCTGTATTGCATTAAAGCAAGGAAGCAAGGTATGTACATGAAACATAAATTAAGAGTTTTATATGATAAGATTAAAAAATTGAAATGTTATTATCAAATTATATTGTTTGTTATATTCTAACATTTAATTAATATAAAACATTTTAGATTTATTTGGTGTGAAGGATAATAGAATGAGGGAGTAAAGAAGTAGTTTGTGACTCGAAATGTTAAGAAATATATTTAAGCTGCATTGTGAGGATGATTTTGGGGCACTTTATTTTATTTCATAAGCTTAAAATTATGAAAATGCAAGTAAATTAATATGAATATATACCTGATGTGTAGGTTGTGAACTAAAGAAGAAAATATCATGTTTTGCAAAAAGATATTCTCTTTACTTTACCTGAATTGATTAAATCATGACTGTTTAAAGTCCTTTTAAATGAAATGTTAATGATTACTTATAATGACTTGCATGCAATATTTTATTTATTTTTGAAATTGCTATAATATAAACTATAATTAGCCACTAAGTTGTTGTGTAACTACTAACTAAACCCATTATAAAATTTTAAGATTCAGGAAGGGCTCTTTTAAATTAAATTGGAGGCAGAGAAAGATTTGTTTACAGGAGAGTAGAAGTGAATGAAAATAGGTATTTAAAGATCACATTTATTTGATTTTAGTCAACTGTTAAAGATGTATGAAATAGAACTATCTGTTATTAAGGAGCTCTTCGCAATTTGGAAGATATTTATGTGGGATTACCTGTAATATTAATATTTTAACCTTTTAGGCAGGTCATTAAAAGTTACAACTTGAGTGATAACGGCACCCTGGCCCATCCCCTCCACCTTCTCTCTTAGGATATCACTTCCCCGACCCAACCACCAAGATCTCCCCATGGTGTTTAGAGCCTCTAAGAAGGTTAATCGATGGCCCCCCTTGACATGTGGAGTTCAACTCAACTAAGTCCACCTCAATTGTAAATAATTTGCTTCAAGATAATTGTTTTATCCTGCATGAATCTTGATGGTGATGTATCACTGACTTTGGAAAATGTTTAGTTAAATGAAAAAAGAATGCAAAGTAAAATGAAATATAGTATTAAAAAAATGCAATGCATTTGAAATGTTTGGTATTGTTAGCATGTGTAAAATAAATGCATGTGAGTACTTTTTTATTTGGTAAAAAGTAAAATTAATGCAATGTAAAGCCTACTGAAGGTGGTGGCCGGTGAGCAGCGATGGTGGTTGGCAGTGGTGATGGTGGTGGGGACAACGACAGGCAGTGATGCCCGACATAGGGCCACGTCAAACTGCGACAGTGGCGATGGTGGGGGCAATCGCCAACAATAGCAATTTGAAATGACAATGGCAAAAAATTTAAAGTGTATATAAAAATAAGTCAAATCTAATGATTTTCAAATGCACCAAAATTGAACTAGATGGTGAATTTCAAATCCACCAAAATTTTACTCTATTGCTTTTACTTCAAACCAAACATCAAATACTTTTTAAAATCTCTGCATTTGGAATACTCTACATCCCTTTTATTTCAAACCAAACAGTAACTTAATGAATAAGGACAAAACCATCATTTCCATAGCCACAAAATTCTCATTTGGGAAAAGACGTTCTAAGAATTTATTTGAGAGTTTCTTGGATGATCCAAAATCTTCTAGCTCAGAAATCCACTTTTATCATTGATGCAGCACAATGATGATTATAGAGTCACAATATCCACAAAAAATATAGTGAAAAAAAAAAAATTACTTCGCCAAGGCTATAAAAAGATTAAGATATTCACAAATGACTCATGTTGAAATTTTGCTCAAATTTCATTCATTTGAGCCTCAAAAACATATCTTAATTCAATTAAGCTCAATTGTGACACTTGCTATGACACGTGAGACGATCAGGTGTAATTCCAAATCGAATATAGGAAAATTATGTTAGTAATGAAATACCAAGGGAATAACCATCACTTAGAAACTTAAGCTTTTTTATTAAAAATAGATTTGGCAATCGATGTATTAGGCCTAATATTGATTCCCTATAGCTCACACACTCTAACAATTGGTAACAAAGCCAATGTTTAGATCCCATTGGAATTTGTTGCTTTCTATCATGGTTATGCAAGGTTCAACAGTTAGTGCCTCAAATGATAGCTCCAAATGATTAAGTGGACTCTTGGAGCATAACACATGATGATCTTAAAAAATAAAGGCTTTTGTTTGAGGAAGAGTTATGATCGATGTGAAGAGATCTAATATGAGAGGAGAATATTAAGGCACATGAGAGTGTTGGGTTTAGCCCTATATTGGATGATGAAATATTTGTTGTAGAAATATCAAGTCGTTGGATTTAATCCAATAGTGACAAACATACTTACATCACTATATTAGTTTATGAAGTGTATCTAAACTGCAATAGTTTGGCTCTATCTGTAGAAGATTATTTTACAGTTATTTCTTGATGTTTTGTATCACACGCCACTTGAAGTCAGTCCAACATGCATAGGGTTCGACCATCCCAACAAGGACCTCAAGCAAACATCACATCCCTTCGCTTCTCGCTGCAACTAAACTCTCATTTCGCCAAGGATCAACACAGAAAGCAGGTGCAAAATGTGCTTTGCTATTTGGTATCAATAGGATGCACTCTACCTTTCATCCAGCAATCCTTTATTAGAACTTGTTTAACCCCCATGAGCCCATGTAACTCATGTGTAACTCATAATTGATTATATAATAACAAACTTTGCAAAGTATCATCCAATGGTTTGCTAAGTATTTTCTCTCATAGAACCACGGAGATGATTATGAATTCACTAGGCTAACTTAGAGGATTTATCATTTCGTGGAGAGCTAAATTATATAAGTGAAGAATTAGAATATCTAAGGGTTAGGTATAGCATAGGATATGAGTAGTTTAGTTTCAATGTAAATTGATTAAATATAATTTATAGAAAAATTCAAAAATGATGAACACAACTAATAATGAACAAGATATATTTAAAATATACTTTAGATGTTACAAAAATTATCTAATATATTTTTGGTATCTATTTGGGTTGTTTTTCAATCATTTGAATTATTTAATATTTATTCATTTGTGAAAAGTATTTTAATTATTATTATTATTATTATTACTAGTATTATATATTGTGATTAGGGGTGTAAGTAAGCCGGGCCGGCTTGCAAGCCGGCTCGAGCTCGACTCATTTATAGGCTTGCGAGCCGGGCTTATCGAGCTCTAGTTTGAGCTTGATGAGGCTCGGCTCGTGAGCTCACGAGCCGGCTCGAATATTTTTTGGATTACTTAAAAATAAAATAATTAATGTTTTTATTAAATTTAAATCTTAAAAAAAGTTGTAGTTCGTTTTTAAGAAAAAAGTTAAAGTTGCACCTATAGCCTACAGTGCAACATTTTTCAAAATTATAATATTAAAGGTACAGCTATTTTATCCACCGAAAAAAGCAAGACGTCATTTTTAATATATATTAAAGCTAAGAGATTGCAACAGTTTCCAAAAAAACGCAAGATAGCTTTTGTTATCCAGAGGATAAAACAATGATTCATCTATTTGTTTATCTATTTTGTCGGACGAGTGCCTCAAGGACTTTGCCCCTCTGCAATGTCGCTGACCCACTAGCCGAGGAACTGGGCGGAAAAATGGCAAATGGTGGGTAGGAAACTAAAATCGAGCGGCTTGAAGGCTCGTTTCGGTGTCGCGAGTCGAGCTCAAGCTCGATTTTTGAGCTCGACTCAAGTTCGAGGTCGGTATTTAACTCGCGAGTCGAACTCGAAAACCTTCTGACTCGAGCTCAACTCAACTCGTTTACACCCCTAATTGTGATCATGTTCTAAATTGACTCATAAATCCTAGTCATCTATATATGTTAGCAAGTTAAATTGATTCTACAGTTATTCCAAATTATCCAAAAAAAAATTTACTTTAAAAACCTTAGCCACAATATTTCATTACGGGCCAGAGTCGTTCTCTTGAAGTAAAATCAAAGTTACAATGTTGAACAGATCCGCACTAGAAAGTTGCAACGACCATAGAAATCTCCATTAAAGACGAGTGACTTTGGATTTATGAAATGCAACAATCATTTTAAAGCCAAATATATACCATATATTGCATAACTATTTGCCTATAAATATGAGGCGCTTTGGATGATTTTTATCCAATGGAAAATCCATTTTAAGGAGCTTAGAGAATGTTTTGTTGGAGAAAAAAATGAAGAGCAACAAAGTGTTCATTCATTATGAAATGTTCTTTAAGGTTTCATTCATTTTTAATATATTTCTTCTATCAGCCTAGGTTTATTGTAAGGTATTTTTTCATTGTATATCACAATCTAACCTTTGTATAGATTGTTTTCATAAGTTGCAAGTGATTTCCTTGAATCATCTACAATGTTCAAGAGAACTTTTACTAAGCTTTTCTTATAATCTTAGTGTACCAAATGAATCTTGAAAGTTGCAATTGTCGAATCAAACAAGGACCACCTTACGTTTCAATAAAAATAATGTAAAAGCATCTCTGCCTCCTCGAGGAGTCAAATAGTGGGTTTTTATGGCAAGTCAAATTAGTGGAATCCTAAGTTTGTGGAGGCAGCCTTAGATGTAGTTGTAGAGGCCTAACCATGTAAAAAAGTTGTGTTGAATCTCAATTAGTTGTAAATTTAAATTTTCTTGCATTTTTAATTATTTGTTTGTTCTTGAATGTTATGAGTGGTGAAAGCAATGCACGTTCTTACACTTAAATTTCTATTGCTCTTACTTGATGCATGACTTCTTATAGATCACCATAAACTTGTATTTGGATATTTACAAAATGTTTTAACTTTGTTGTTTATAATCTAATTATTGAAGCTAGTGCAATTGAGTTATAGTTTTATATTCTGACTAAATAGTTAAAACTCACTTACCTAATTACATAGACTACATCATAAGTTAAATTATATGGTTCACACTTGTAGCATTTGATTAATTGATTACAAGTGTACATGAACCAATGTCTTTGAGTGAAACATTTTTAAAGAATAAGGTTATAAATTAAGCTCTCTTAGTATTTGTTTATCCTCATTGATAATTTTATGTTTCCTACATTTGTAGACTCTAGTATGGCTTTAGTTTGTATAAAATTGATATATAAATTGCTTTCATCAGGATTTTTCATTATGAGGATTTGAATTGGTGGATTTTAAAGGATACCTCAAAGTGATCCATAGCACACTCAACTAACCCCCCTTCTTAGCGTGCAGTGAACCATTGACAATCAAAGCTAAGTAGGCCCTACATATCAATTGGAGTTTAGTTGGCTCCGCACACCCATCAAAGTAAGGTATGCTCTACATGCCATAAGAGTTTGGTTAGTATGCTCCATAGACCCATCAGAGTTAGGTATGCTTTGCATGCCATAAGAGCTTGGTTAGACTCTATATGCCCATTGGAGTTAGGTAGCTTGTGTATCCTTCGAAACTATAAAGGATTAAAATACTCATTTGAATTGGTGGGCCTCTGATGTAGGCAAAGGAGGGGTCAAACCTAATCCAAAAATTTTTGGTTTTGACTTCCCTTGAGCTTATTAGCTCATTAATTTTTGAGCTGAAATTTAGCTCATTATGAGCTGGTTTTTAGTTTATTTATTGAACTAAGAGTTAGCTCATTATGAGCTATGTTTTTAGTTCATTTATTTATCTATTTAAGTAGCTCTTTATTAGTAGTTTTGTCTCTTCTCCTCCACTTTTTCTTCTTAAAATAATGTGAGCTTGTCTTTTGGGTTCCTTGGCCGGCTGACTGTTTTCCATGCCTTTGTCCCATGGGCTTCCGTGAATGGCTTTTCGGTTGGTTGTGCTGGCTGGTTTTCCCATGCCTTGGTGCCTCGGTTCCGTGCGGGCCTCCTTAGTTCTTGCAGCTGCCTCTTCGGGTTCCGCCTGGGTTGCTTTCCCGTGACTGTTGAGGGGTTTCCCGTGGCTTGTGGTGCTTTGTTTCTAGTGTAGAATTATGTTGTGGCTGTTGGCTTTTCATTTGCTTTGAATATGAAGGGTCATTGGGGCTGTTTGGTTCCTCTTCTCTTGCCTATAAATATGAGATATTTTGAGTGGTATAGAGAGAATTTTTGGAAAGAAATCTGAGTGATTTTCTTGGAAAAGCTAGAGAGCTTTTTCCACTTCTTCTTCTTCTCCTCCTTGGGGAAAGCTTGCGAGCTTGTCCTCCACCTTTCTTCTCGAGCTTCTAACCTCTTTCGTCTCTCCGCAAGTGTCATTCCATCTGTATCTTTCTTCTCGACGAATGAAAGCAAGTTTAGGTTTCTTTTATAAGTCTTGTTTGAGTCATTTGAAAGCGTCTTGTAAGAGTCTTTATATAAAAGTGTTCTTTTATATGAAGTGTAAGAGTTTGTTCTAAAGTTTCTAAATTATCTCTCCTATTATTCTGTCTATTTAGTAAGTTGTTTAATTTTTGTGTTCAAAAATTTGGGCCCCTCCCCAAATTTTTGGGCCCAAATTTTTTATTGCATTAGCCTCCATACCCATCAAATTGGGCAGACACCACAAACCCCATTAGCCAAGTAGCCTCTATATACCTAAATAAATAAATAAAGTGAAATTAAGTAGTTCTAAAAATTTCTATAGTAGTCAACACATCAAAAGAGAAAGGCAAACCTGTAATGCAAGGCTGAGCCCACCGTTATCTTCCTGCTCAAAGTAAAGCAACTGCAAGAAGAAAATATACATTAGAAGGACAAGGAAAAAAGGTATGGCACAATAAGACTGGCAATGTTGCACTAGCAAGGGGTGCCCTTAAATTCCAACAAAGGCATACAAACCATATGATGTAACCAACCCAAGTGATTCAGTCATATTTCACCAATCAAAAACCTTTTAACAACCTAAATAAACCCAGGAGCATTGCCATCCAAGGTACGAATGCATCAAATATCAGAACTTCCCACCATCTTCCATTTGATTCACCTAATCGAATTTCCACCCAAATCAAGGTCACAACAACCCTAGCCATCCAAGAGGGGACGGTTTAACTTTTATTGTGAATAAATAATATTAACACAATGTATTACAAGATTCATATCATGATTATTAGACAAATTTTACGTTGACTGTCACTGCAAATAAACAATGACATTTTTTTTTTGCTTTTTAATAATGTTTGATTTGTGCTTCTTTGTCATACTAAGAATTTGGTGCTAAGCATCTTCTAAATCATAGTGGAGCTGTGTGAACATGCTAGTATTAGGGCAACGTATATGGGGAACCAAGTGAGTTGTTAAATAATCATCCTTTTACGCCAACTTAGATGATGTGAGATGCAGGGAAAGCAAAGGTTTTGATGTAGGCTTTGGAAAAGGGTTTATTGAATCACTCCAAACAGTAGCAATTGATGGCATCAGATTACACTCCTCAAAGTGCTTAAAAAAGAAGAATGCCTAAATCTTATAGGATTTTGTAAAGACTTCATGAAATGAAGCAATTAAAAAATTAAATAAAACATAAACATCAATTTTTAGACAATTGATCAAAACCACTCAAGACTAAAAATGAAATAATTAAATATAATCAAATAGCATTAAAGAGCAAATAGTATCAGGATAATGGTTTATAATCAAAACTACCCATGCTGAAGTAAATTTAATGATATTTTGTAAAATTAATAAAAATTCATGACAGCTTCTTTCTTTTACTTGCTCTCTTCCATTGTTCCCAACATGGAGAAACCTAACATCCAGCCTTGAGAAAATAGTATTTAAACCGTTATCCTGAATATTTTAATATTTGTTACATTCAACCTCTTAATTTGTGCCTCCCATCTTCCAGATGTACAACATATTTTGCAATGATTCTTCTTTTTCAAATAAGTCAAGCTTCATGACAAGACTAAAAATTTCTAAACCACGTAAGACTTTAACTTGAGATATTCTTCATGATTTATAAATAAATATCATATCCACTGATAAAATAATCTCAAACTTTTTTACTTGGCTAATTTTTCTTGTCATCTCGATATTTTATTATCAAGGTACTTGAACATGCTCCTCCAAAGAGGAACTTCTTAAAGTTCTGCATTCTTACCCACTAAAAATCTTTTTTTTTTTTCACTTCAAAATTTTCTTTTCTTTTAAGCATAGATGCCTTCTGATCATTACCGGCTTCATTTGGTATGATTGTTACTACTTAAAAATTTAGATGAAAAGCTGTTGGAAAACTATGGTGAAAAGGTATTGACTTATATTTGTTAGACCTATGGTTGAGTTGTTTTAATTCAAAAGTTTATTCTACCTATATAATTTTTAATGAATTTTGCATAAATAAATTTCTCCGAACCATTAGAAACTTGTACAAAATAAAAATTATAGAACTAAAACTTAAAAACTCATAGCGCAATCTATTATAAAATATATTCATGCATCGAATATGATGCAATATATAGCAAGAAGCCACTAGCATAAGGCATATCTCCAATTGCAATCGAAACCATCAACATCTCCAAAGAACACGAAGGATCTATCAGGTTTACATGGTATGGCTATCAGCAATAGGCCTTTGTGGCAAGACACAGCTAAATGTATAAACACCTATATAATTAAAATGAAGTCACAGGAAAATTTTAGTCTTTTTAGTACATAAAATGGTAGATCAGAAAGCCACTGCTCAACTAAATTGGGCATTGACATCAAATTTTTGGATTTTTAGCGAAGAGTCAAACGCGGTTTTTGGGAGGCACTTTAAAAGTTGTGGAATCGAAATCATATATATGTCGGTTGATTTAGCTTTTCTCAAAGCAATATATCAAATAAAAGCATCCAACAAGGTCTTTATCTATTGACTCTTTTAAGAATGATGGGTTCTAATATCTTCATGGAACATAGCTCTATAATCAATTCATGCTAGCTTCAAGCAATCCATCTTTTCAAAGACAATCAAAAGTAAAATAACTTATAAACTATCGATAAATCTTTGATAAAAAAAATTCTATAATGAAACATGGGGATTTTGAATGAGATGACTAGAATTTGTGAGCATAATTAAAAGAATAATAAATATTGCTTGTTTGCAAGAAACTAAATGTAAGAAGAAAAATCCAAGGATAAAGGTGAACGTTATAAGTTATTATAAGTTGTTAAAATTAAAATAAAAAACGTGATTATAATTTTAATAAATAAATAGTTGGTGATATGATAAATGTGATTAGTGTTTATGCTTCTTAAGTTATATACCAAAACATAGAAAAATAATTTGAGATGAATGAACTAAGACTACATGTACCAAAAAAGAGCAAAAAATTAATACGGTTGATATTAATAAACACATAAATTCTAAAAGGATAAGTTATAAGAAGACTAATATAGGACATGGAATAGGATGAATAATTATGATGGATTAAGTTATAGTTGATTTTGTAGTAGTATATGATCTTTACAAAAATGAATACATATGTCAGAAAAATAAGAAGAGTACTTCATTATTTTCAAAAGTTGAGCCGCCAAATTGTAAAAGCTAATTAAAAAAAAAAACGACTAGTGTTGATTTAAAAAAAAAACTGAACCGACTAGCTAGTTCTACTAATAAGAAAAATGGGGACGGAGGGGGAGAGCAAAAGCAAGAGAGGGACAAAGAAATTGGAAAGTAAAAGTAACCATGGAACTGAGAAAACAAGAGAGCTTAAACGAGTGCCAGAAGACACATGTGGATGGGCTAAGTCAACCACAAACGAGAAAAAGTGGGTCAACTTGAGGAGAAAGGAAAATATATAGAGTTCTTTTCTTCTTTCTTCTATTCTTCTACCATTTTAGCTTGAAGCAAGGTAAATCTAACCTACATTTGTTTTTCTGTGTTCTTCACGAAATTGATTTGGAAAACATTTGATCTTGTTTCTATGCATACAAAAGATGATAACATGCATATTATCATGTATGGCTATTTATTTTGATTACGTCATAAATATTCTAAAAAAATTGCTATTAAGATTGTTAAGTGATTTAATACCTTGTAATGTTTTCTCGGTATTCAACTTTAGGGAGTCCAATTGTTGTTATATATACGCTTCAATTAGCTGAAGCGGGCTTTACACTTCAAAGCAAAAAAACACCTTTGGGTTTTGCATTGTGCTTGGCTCATTCACAACACTAAATGGAGAATTCACTAGTATTAGTACTGGTTGGGATCAAAGAGTTCCTAATTACTTAGTATTATAGAAAAGATTATCACTAAGTCCATATTATTTTGTATTTGCTATGAAAATGTTCACATAGTCTATTCAGAATGATGGCCCTTAGTGTATGCATTTTTGTAGACAGCCTAATTTTAATTGGCGAGACAACTATTAAGAAAGCAAAAGTTATAAGTTAGAGAAATTGTTTGGAATAAAAAGGACAAAGTATTATGTAACAAGAAAATATATGGGAAATCTAAAAAGGAAAAGAGAGTTTAAAAAAGTGCCATCAGGCCTCTGAGTTGTATGGATCCAAAAGTTCAATAGCAAAAAAAGTCACAAATGACAAAGTTAGGCATGACAAATGAGAAATTTAGGTTGATTTGTGACAAAAAAAGGAAATTTTAATTGAAGAATGATTATTTTAAAGGGATTATGAAATTAGTATCAATTGAAGATAAGATAGTTCAAAATAGATGTAGGAGGTTTAGCGGGTATAATAAAGGTAGAAATTATAATCATAAGATGACTAGATAAAATTAATGTTGAAAGATTAGAAATGATAAATAGGCCAAACAAAATATGGATAAAAATTATGTAAATTTTGCACTAAATAATTTTAACATCTCATTAAGCAACCAATGGAAAAAACTTTAGAATTAGGTACATTTTGGCATTGTTGTGTTGTAATTTGTATTGATGAGTGGCAACTATTTGGTAAGACTATTATCTAAAATATTGTAAGAGCTACAATTGTTCAATAAAAAAGATGTCATGGCATTGATATGAGTCATTGAATTATTGAAATAAATATTATTACTATTTTTATACTATTAAAATGGATAAACTAATCTTAATTAATATACAATTAATTAAAATAATTAATTTATAAAAGAGAATAATTAAAATTCATTAAATCACTTTTTCAAGGAAGCCATCTAAGCCACCATTCTAAGAAAGCTGCTCTTTCATTTTCATACGGGTTAACTTTTTCTCACAGCAACTAAAACAAACACCTAAAAATTGCTTATACTGTTCAAAAAAGAAAAACACGCAACAAAAAGCATTACCAAATGGATGCTTAGGATTCACAATCCCAAATTTTTGGGATAAGACAAATTATGATAATAAAGTTAACTATGAATGTTATAATACCCACCTGAAGGAAGTGGTTGGAAGTGAAAAGTAAGGTCTTTCTAGTTATAAAGTAATTTTTTTTCAGAAAATTTAAAAAAAAAAATTATAAACACTTTCTCCATGACCAACATTTACGATTTTTCTACTCTAGAAACTGACATGACCTAATAGGAGGTTGTTTCCAATTTGTTCAACCAGAACCACTAGTCGAACTCACCAATCTGATTCACTATTTCAAAGTATTGTTACTCAATGTGTATGCAAGAAACACAATCATTTGTACAATCATTATTTACATATCACATTATTCTAGCTTTAGTTCACATTAGAACCAGATGTAATACAGACGGATATATAGCAGCCACTCCAAGATATCTTGCCTGACCAACAGCCTAAGAAGCACGATAAGGTT